AGAATGGAGAGTTCACGTTCAGAATTCTTGGCTTGGATGTTACATTTGTAACGGTCCATGAAACTTTCAGTAACATCCTCCCAAGTCGCAACATGCTTGGATTCCAGAGAGTAGAACCATTGTTGACAGGCATGCTCCAAGGAAAGAGGGAAAATAGTAGGGAAAAGTGTCATAATCCCTTAAGATCTATGGTTGCAGAAAAAAGCCTTCAAGTGGAACATCGGATTATTAGTAGGCTTGAACTTGGGAATGTAAGCAGTGGAAAACTTCTCAGGAAGCTTGTCCCTTATGGATGAAGAGATAACAAGTTGCTCTAAATAGGTGAACTCTTCAGAGATCTTACTCATTTGCTCTTTAATCTTGTCTATTGCAGCCACAGTGACATTGTTTTGATTGTCTTGATCTACCGTGTTGACTATGGTAGTAAGCGCTTGCATCATGGTATATAACCTATCAATGAACCTGTTAATGTTCTCAATATCCTCCTTAGAAGCCATTGGTTGAAAGTAAACTGGAGATGGACTTTGTGGAGATGATTGTGGTGGTTTCCTTGAACGCCTCTTTGGTATAAGAGGTTGTTGAGGTATTGATTCAAACTGTAACAATCTACCCCTGCTTCTTGACCAAGTGCTGTGACATCGAAAAAAACACACCTTTAATGACTAGACTTAACCTTGATCCATCCAGAAAAGAAAAGGCAAGAAATTTATTTTTTTAGAAAAAGAAAAAGTATGTATGGGAGGATACCATCCGACTTACTCCAAAAACAAATGAACGACACAAGACCGTCCTAAAGTACGGTTATAAAATGGTGCACAACTTAAGGAGAAGTGTGGGAACTTGACACGACATGTGAGTGATTAAGTGAGGTTACGGACGCGTGTTATGACCGTACAACTAGTCATGACATCAAACCGGACATAAGAACTACATAAGCACGCACAAAGACAAATAAAAACTTGACTGGACCAAACTCCTTGGCACCGTGTCATGGTGCTGACGGTCGTGACACGGTACAATGCACCGTTAGATGGTACAAAGAACCGTGTCACGGCACTGCACACCGTGGCGCGGCAGAGCTGCCATGACACGGTTAACAATTCCAAGGCTAATTTTGTCCCTTGGTCATAGGATAAATAAAATTAGCAAACACATGTGGGTTAGCACCAAAGAAACCACGTAGCATTAAGTCACGATGATGTAAAAAAGTTCGCAACCTAATGTCAAGATCTATGCTCAACGATTGGTCAAGCTTTGGTTGTCAAAAAGGGTACCATGGTTTAGATTTTGGACGCGTTAGCAAGGTAGCCTCCCGTGAGGGTGTATGCCAACGGGCGGCTTCACGAGTTTGTGATGAAATCGAACTCAACTCCATGATTTGGGCGGATTTGGTAACTTGGATGAACCCTTATTGCCATGAGAGTTTTTAGGTTGATGGAGCTTAAAACCCCCGAGGCTAACACGTATGTTGAACACACATGTTTTTTAAGAAAAACCGAAGGAAGTTGACTATGAGAAGAGAAAATAAGCCACTAGACAGATTTTATGACTATTGTGACACGGAAGAACGTACCGTGTCACGGTGCTGTACACCGTGTGACAGTGCCTAGTGTCGTGGCATGGCAGCATCTGCTGTGGCGCGGCAGTCAAAAAATCTGACAAGTGCCCTTTTTTCCTTCGTTCGCAATCTTGTTATTCAAATTTTCCTACGCGACAGACCTAATTGTGACGTTAGAACTTATATGCATATGAAAAAAATGCCAAATTAATCACAAGAATACTTTTCAGGAATCATTCAAGTCCCATCCACTCATCTTAATTAAATACCAATCACTCAAATCGATAAATAACCAAGAATCCTCCCCAGTGGAGTCGCTAAATTGTGGGCGTCATTCGAAGTGCGACTACGTTAAAGCATGTGTGAATATGCTTGGCACTTTTAGGAAGTTAGAATTGACATAATACGATTAGGGACAAGGAAAGTAGGGAGCCGCCAACAAGTTTTTAAGGAACTTGTAAACCGTTCACGGATCATAAAAAGGCAACCACGATAAGGGACAACGATAGGCAACAACGATTGACCCATGAAGGTTACACCCCATTCATTACTAACACCATATGGTTCGGAACCACGAAAGTAGGATAGGGTATGACGGTACGAAGTGAGTCATGGAGTCACATTCGCCCGTATTAGCCTCTACTCGATTCTTATAGTAAAAAGTGATTCCTGCAATCTCAAAGGCATGCAAACAAAATATTCAATTTGCTCCAAACTATTATTATGCTAAATAGGTTGAATATTAGTGCAACACATAATTCTAAAATATTAGTGATCACTTAAATTAATAACAAGATTAAAAAGAAACCTAAAACGGTCGTCCAAATTGTCTTATTAGGCGTGATTTTAATTATATATTCCTGTTAAACATTCTATATGGTGATCATAAATAATAATAGAATAAACATTAATGTTGGAAGCAATTTAATTATAAATCAAACAATATGAAATTGTTAAAAAAATAATAGAAATAAAAGGAACATAGTTCTTACTTTGATTTTTTTTGCTTGCAACAATAAAACAATAAACGAGTTAGTAACTTTAAGGACATTTAATAAAAAAAAATTAAATTAAATTAAATAGAGTTGATTTGGGGCCAAACCCTCAAACAGTTCTACCTTTCACGCCTTGGTTTAAGAATAGAACCTCGAGTAAAGTACAGACTCCTTGGAGTGCTTAAGGAAGGAATTTTGAAAGAATAAGATAGGCTAATGTTTAGGCTAGAGCATAGAATAGAGAAAAAAGAGTATGTCCCTAAACATCAAAGATCATAGGCATGATACTAACAATATTAATAACAAATCCTATGAACTAGGAGTTTGCTAATTCATTCATTTGGTCCTAGAACACCCATAAACTAGCAACATTAACCCGCCAATACAGGCGAATGTGACTCCATGACTCACTTCGTAACCTTCACGGGTCAATGGTTGTTGCCTATCATTGTCCCTTTATCGTGGTTTCCTTTTATGATCCGTGAACGGTTTACAAGTTCCTTAAAACTTGTTGGCGGCTCCCTACTTTCCTTGTCCCTAATCGAATATGTCAATTCCCACTTCCTAAGAGTGCCAAGCATATTCACACATGCTTTAACGTAGGCGCACTTCAAACGACGCCTACAATAATCAAATTGCAATAAGTAATGACATACTCAATTTACATTCCCATGTCAAACTAAGCATATCATGCTATCAAGCTCCTAAGTCAAGGGTAGCTAATCCTATCATGAAGAACTAACAAGCAATCTTATATAATCAATTTAATTGCAATACAAACATCAATGCTTCTCCCACATTTGCATAATTAACCCAAAAAAATGAGCTTCATCACCCAACCCCTAGCAAGAAGACTACTCACAACTCATGTTTATCAACATGCAAACAAGTATTAGGGTTCTAACTTCTTCAATAATTGGGGAAAAGTGATTAGCAATTGAAATAACTATCATCCAATAACAAATTATCAAGAATTAAGAAGATTTAAATATCATGCAAGAACAAATAAAACCAGAAATTGAATGGAGAAAAGTAGAAGGAAGTTACTAATTGAAGCTTGGAAATTTTGAATACAAAGTGCCAATTCTTGAGGATGAATCTTGAAACCAACTATTACAATGATTAATTTGATGAAAACTAAGCTAAATTAATTAAAACGAATGTTTCAAACTAAGAGAGATATCTGAAAACTAGGCTACTGTTTTCTGTATCACAAATGAGCTAAAGGGGAAGTATTTATACTCCCCGAACAACATAGAGAAATCCGTCAAAAGAAAACGGATTCCCAGCGAGGAGCGCTCACTCCACAAAGAGGAGCGCCCGCTCCTAGGCTTGGAGCGCCCGCTCCGTTTTGATGCACGCCCGCTCCTCCTGCTTCAGTGGAAAGTCAGACTTGAAAGTAACAAGGAGGAGCGTCCGCTCCTAGTCAAGTGCACGCCCGCTCCCCTGTTCTACAGCATAGGCAGTTTTCAAGTTCAAAGGAAGGAGCACTCGCTCCTGGCTAGGTGCACGCCCGCTCCTCACAGACTCTAGATTTGGGCAGAATGTTGCTAAAGTTGGGGAGCGCCTGCTCTAGGGGAGGTGCACGCCCGCTCCCACTGGAGCGGGCTTTCCCTTCTTTGTCTTCGAGCCTTGAAAGTTACTCCATGATTTGAGTGCTTGTCAAATTGAAATATAATACCTGCAAAACATGGACAAACACAAGCAAAGAAGGGGCGAGGCCGTGATACAACATTTTCATTCAAAAACGGGTTAGAAAGAGGGGAAAAGATTACAAAATCGGGTTTAAATCAACACTATAAGTGGTCAAATAAACCACTTATCATTGAGATACATGTTTTTCGCTCCTCCAGACGTCAGGGGTACTCTAAAGCCGCCACTGCCAGCAGTGACGCAGATGAATGATGTTTGCTTGACTTAAAAGTGTGTAATTTAATTTCTACCAGTCATTTCCATGAGAAATTTAATCAACGTCAAACCTCATTGAAATTTCCCATGAATCTTTGTCCCTGTACAATTTTATATGCCTAAATACTCTCTTTCGTAATTAAATGCTATCATAAGCATAACTACCTGAAGACTAAAACAAACCAAATGATGCAAGGGGAAAATAGAAGAAAATGGAGAAGGAAATAGCAGAGGAAAATATCAGATCATTTCTCATTGATGTTGTTATGATGCATTGCACCTTATATACAATAAGACAAACTAAAGCTTTATTACACATCTAATCATATAACGGCTTGAGAATCTTTCCAGAAGAAATCAACTAATCATATGCTCACAATAGCTGTCACAAATAGCTCACATAACAACCTCATAACAAACTTGATTCCCTTAGGAGAAATGACTAAGATAACCCTGCTTATCCCTGCTTAATACCCCCCTTCAAGATGAGTGCTAGGGGAAGGTGATCTAGCAACAAGCTTGCAAAGTATATCTTGATGCTACTTGACAAAGAGACCCTTAGTAAGAATATCAGCAAGTTGATCCTTGGAAGAAAAATGAGAAGGAATAAGATCACCAGTTTTCACCATATCCCTCACATAGTGATGATAATCAATTTCTATGTGTTTTGTTCTTTCATGTAAGACTGGATTGGCAGCAATAGCAAGAGCTTCCTGATTATCACAGTTGAGTATAGTTGGACCAAGGTGATCTATGCCTAGATCCTTGAGTAAAGCCTTCAGCCAAGTAACCTCACATGCTGTAGAGCCATAGCTCTATATTCTGCTTCAGCAGAGGACTTTGCAACCACTGACTGCTTCTTTGCTTTCCATGAAATTGGTGATTTACTAAGTAAAATACAGTAGCCAGTGGTGGATCTCCTTGAATTTAGACAACTTGCCCAATCACTGTCACAGAATGCAGTCAAATGAGCTACAGAAGAAGAAGCTAAAATAATTCCCTGAGTTCTGGTTCCAGCAAGATATCTCAGGAGTCTTTTTACAGCTTGTAAGTGAGTGGATGTTGGAGAATGCATGAATTTACTCAGAAGTTGGACTGTAAAGGATATATCAAGCCTAGTAACAGTCAAATAAATTAGTTTCCCAAGGAGTTGTTGATAGACAACAAAATTAGGCAAAAGAGTGCCTTTGTCTACAGACAGTTGTAGATGAGAGTCAATAGGCAGCTTTACAGGTTTAACATGAAGCATTCCTTACTCTTTTAAGAGATTAGTAACATATTTTCTCTGTGACACAAAGATACCTTGATCAGTGTGATCAATTTCTAATCCCAAAAAATACCTTAAAGTACCAAAGTCTTTCATATGAAAGTGAGAGGATAGAATCTGTTTAAGCTTGATGATTTCATTTGTGTCATTTCCTGTGATGAGAAAATCATCAACATATACCAGAACAGCAGTTATTGAATCACCATGTGATTTAGTGAACAGGCTATAATCAGATTTGGACTGAGTGTAGCCAAAAGAAAGGAGAGAAGTAGAAAGTTTAACAAACCACTGTGTGGGAGCCTGTTGAAGGCCATATAATGATTTGTTCATTCTGCAAACAAGATGTGAATTTTTTATAGGAGTTTTTCCCTGAGAATCAACCTGTATTCTGCTTCCATAAGTAGTGTATCCTTGAGGAAGAGACATATAGACATCCTCATCTAATTCACCATGCAGAAATGCATTAGTGGCATCCATTTGAAAAGTCATCCAACTATATATTGCAGCAACTGCTAAAAGAGCACTTACAGTTGTCATCTTAGCTACTGGAGCAAAAGTTTCTCCATAATCTAGACCATACTACTGTCTGCAACCCAAGACAACAATTCTAGATTTGTGTCTTTCAATATCACCATTGGATTTGTATTTAGTTTTAAAAATCCATTTGCATCCTATTATCCTCTTTCCATCAGGAACAAAAGTGACTGTCCATGTTCCATTTTTTTCACACTGCTCCAATTCTTGATTCATTGCATCTACCCAATGCTTCTTAGTAATAGCATGCTTGTAAAAAATAGGATCTTGAGATTTTTCCAAAGTTGTCATGAAACAGTTGAAATCATAAGCAACTTCTTGAAAAGCCAAATTTGAAATTTGTCTGTTTAAAGTCTTTCATGGTTCAATATAGTCTTTCATCCAGGATGGTGGCCTAGAAGGTCTAAAACTCTGTCTATGCAAGGTTTCAGCAACAAGAATTTAATGTGGAAAAGAAATTTGATTATCAGAAGAAGAAGAGGTAGAAGAATGAGGAAAAGAAGAAGAGGGTGAAGGTGGAAAAATGTTTGTCTGTTCTGTATTGTTTATAGGGAGAGAGTTAGGATCAGAATCAATAATTTCATAAAGATAAGTAGTGTTGAAATTGGATTTTTGTGTGAGGGCTGAGGGAACAGGATTCATGTAAGATTCCTGGGAAGAAAGCTGAAAGGGAAATATAGTCTCATGAAAAATCACATCCCTGGAAACAAAAATTTTCTTTGCTTGTATATCCAGCAACCTATATCCTTTCGGAGTAGCTGGATATCCCAGGAAGACACAAGGTATCCCCCTAGGTTGAAATTTTATCAGTCATGAGAGAAGGATTTGCTGTAAAAGCTACATAGCCAAAAACCCTTAGATGAGAGTAATTAGGAACAGATTTGAACAACACTTCATGTGGTGACTTGTTTTTCAGTATTGGTGTGGGCAGTCTATTGATTAAGTGAACAAATGTCATGACACACTCACCCTAATAACTCAAAGATAGCCCTGCTTGAAATCTGAGTGCTCTTGCTATCTCCAAAATATGTCTATGCTTTCTCTCCACCCTAGCATTTTGTTGTGGTCTATCCACACAAGATGTTTGATGTATTATACCAAGATTGTGAAAGAAATCTTGGCAATATTGATCATGAAACTCCAAAGCATTATTAGACCTCAGAAACTTAATCTTGTGATTGAAATGGGTTTGAGCATAGTTTGAAAATTCCTTGAGCTTATCAAGAGATTCAGATTTCTGCTACAAAAGATATATCCGAGTTGATCTTGAGTAGTCATCTGCTATTGTGAGGAAATACCTGTATTTACCTCTAGTGCAGACCTTATAAGGCCCCCAAATGTCCATATGAATTAATTCAAATGGCAGAGAAGCATGAGCAACACTGATATCATATTGCAATTTTGTAAAATTTGCCATGGGACAAGTAATACATACTTGACTGTTTGAGGTAAATACATCTTTCACACACTGAATATGTTGAAGTTTACAAAGAGAAGCATGGCCCAATCTATGGTGCCATATGGTAAATGAAGCTTTATCAGCAGAAGGGTGAGCAGTGAGACAAGCCTTAGAGGAATGATTGATGTTATTGGATGACTGTACAGCAGAAGAGTCAGCAAAAGATGTGTTCACCAAGTAATACAGGCCATTTATAGCTTTCCCTATCCCTTTAACCTTTTTTGCCACAATGTCTTAAATAACACAGTGTGTTTTGCTAAAATAAACCTCACACTAAGAGTCTTTCATGGGCTTATGAACAGACAACAAATTATGTTTGAAGTTTGGAACTACCAGAACATTCTGCAAATAAAGAGAGTTAGAAAGCTCCAAAGTGCCTATATGAGAGACTTGAGCAGTAGCACCAGTTGGAAGATTGACCTTAAGATGATCAATGTATTCCCTAGGACTAGTAAGAGACTCCAAACAAGATGTCATGTGATCAGATGCCCCAGAGTCTACAATCCATTCCATACTACTAGTCATAGTAGTGTTACAGGAAACCATGCTAGAGAAGCCGTTATCTAGCTCATCATCAGTGTCACTGCCCTTGAGATTCACAGGAAATTGCTTCAATAGTTGTTCAAACTATTGCTGAGATAGGGTGATGTTACCATAGTTATGCCCTGCAGATGTTGTATTCTGAGCAACAGCAACCAATTTTGGTGCTGATTTGTTTTATTTCTGATCCTGAGTTCTCACCCCTGGTTTGACAGAACTAGATTTATATTTGTGATGCCAACTAGGATACCCTACTATCTTCCAGCATCTATCAGGACCATGACCCTTTACACACACTGCACATAGTAGGTTTGTATATGACCACCTGAGTTTGCACCATATGAACCAGGATTACCTGAATGACCAGGGTTTCCAGGATTTTTGCTATACATAGCTGAAATATCAGGCTCAGGTTTAGTCATGTGTAACACTTCTCTCTGATTCTCCTCTTGTTGCAGCATTGAATAAGCTAACTCTACAGTTGGCAATGGGGTGAGCATGAGCAATTGGCTCCTCATAGGACCAAAATGCTCATCTAAATCATTTAAGAACTGAAACAACCTATTTCTTCTTGATACTTAGTAATAGCATTCATCAGATTTCTAATCTCAGCATTAAATTAAGTGATAACAGGCAAAACATTCATAGCATCTATTTCCTCCCACAAGCTAGTCATGCCAGTGTAATAATCATTGATAGAGCTATTGTTTTGTTTAAGATTGTACAGATCTTTATTCATCTTATATTTTCTAGAACCATTAGACATAGAAAATCTTTTCTCAAGCTGAACCCAAGTCTCTCTAGCTGTACTAACATACAACACAGACTTCTTAATTAATAGTATCAACCAAACAACTATGAATCCAAGAAATTACCATTGAATTGTTGGTATCCCACTGTCCTGCCTTTACTGGATCAGCAACATAAGTGGATCTGAGCACCGTTCCTAGCACAAAACCAGCCTTTTTCTTAGCTTTCAAAGCTATTTCCATGGATCTCTTCCAGGATCTCTAATCAGCAAAGTTAGTGAGTTTGTTAACACTGATGGAGTAAGAACCATCATTAGGATGCAGATATAAAACACTGCTTGTATCAGCTGCCATGATTGATATAGAAAAGAAGAAGAGAGATAAGAGAGCATAGAAATAGAAGGAAGAGTGACAGATATGAGCAGAAGCAAGAAGAGAGAGCAAAGCAGCTGAGAAAAGTATAAAAAATGAGAATGATTTCCAATCTAAGAAATTAAACCCGATTTCGCATCTATGGCTCTAATACCATGAAGAATAAATGATGCAAGGGGAAAACAGAAGAAAATGGAGAAGGAAATAGCAGAGGAAAATATCAAATCATTTCTCATTGCTGTTGTTATGATGCATTGCACCTTATATACAATAAGACAAACTAAAGCTTTATTACACAGCTAATCATATAACGGCTTGAGAATCTTTCTAGAAGAAATCAGCTAATCATATGCTCACAGTAGCTGTCACAAATAGTTGACATAACAACCTCATAACAAACTTGATTCCCTTAGGAGAAATGACTAAGATAACCCTGCTTAGCCCATGCTTAATACTACCTTAGTTTTTTCTTTCCCATTATCAAGAAAAAGGAGAGAGTAGACTTGTAGCGATTCTCAAATGAAAATAATTAAGTACTGTAGTATATTACATGTTTAATCAACATCAAACCTCATTGATACATATTTAAACTCTTTACATTATTAAATGTTCATTTTCATATTGAAAGATATTCATTTAAAATTTAATATTTGTTCATGATCGTATTAAAAATGTTCATTTATTTGCAATCTATGGTAAATGTTCATTTTAGATGAACTATATGTTCATTTGTACATGTTCATTAGTTTAACACAATTAATTATCACTTAACAAGATGTTTGTTAATTTTTAATACGAAATACATGTTTTTATAATACTGGATTACAATTATTTATAAAGTGACAAAAATAGTAGTATGTTTAATTTATTTAAATTGTTCAATTACACGTAGTATATGTTATTTAGATTTATGTAAATTTATGTTCATTTCCCAGAGAAATAAATGTTCATTTCTATAAAATCATAGGAATTTTTTTAATTTATAAAATAAATTCATCGCTTACTCCTTATTTTACAAGCAGCCACATGATATGATATAGTGACAGGGTAAAGTCGTATCCCCTAATAAAAAATAATTACCTAAATCACTAAATAAGGTAGATAGGGAAGTAGGGTCGAACTCCACAGGAAAACAGGTCTTTTTAATTCTAATTAATTATTATACTCTAAATTATCTAAGTAACCAATGTTTTTAAGTATGAATTCTATACTACGAAGAATAAGTTTAGGGAGAAAAGAATCAATAATAAGGAAACCTAGGGTCACAGGTTCACCAATTAATATTCCGGGATAGAATGAAGTAATTAATAATTAACAACACACAGATAATATGATTAACAGGCTATCGCAATTTATTAATCAACATAGATCTAACAGGCTCTCGCAATTTACTAGACCTAAGTTCCTATTAAAAATAGCCTTTAATATTAAATCAACATCTGCTCGATTCATCAATTCAATATTGCTAAACATCCACAATCAAATTACATCTGCTCGATTCATAATCTAATTGCAAATAATTAAAACAATTCAATAGGAAATTATCATGCAATATCAACAATCAATAATAACAAACTATCCCTTCATATTAATTATGGATCCCCATAAACCCTAGAATGGAACTACTCACTAATCATCATAACTAAACCAATCAAGTAAATAATTAAAAGCATAATCAAGAAAACAATTAAAATAGCTGAAATTAAAAAGGGAAGAAATTGTACCAAAAATAATCTGGAATTAAAGGGAGTATTAAGAACAAGAGTTTAGAGAGAATTTAAGAGAGAGAAAAATACTAAGTAGAGAGAGAAAGTCTAAGAAAAGAGGTAAGTAATAATTCCGTACAAAAAAACGTATATAAATCTCTCCTAAAACAAGAATTA